CCCCAGTGGGGACCCCCACCCTGAAGGGGGTGTGGCCAGCCTGAAAATGACCCTCAGCCCCTCACCCAGGCTGGCCAGGCACCCCAGCAGGACCCCCACCCTGATCCAGGACACCCTTCAGGGCAAACCAGCCAGCCATCAGCCCCTCACATGCAAATTGACCGTACCTCCACTATACCCATAAGCCACACCCACAAGCCAATCAGGAGTGGATATGCAAATTAACCCAACTAAGATGGCAGCAGCCACAGAGCTGGAGCAAGCAGGAGGCTTGGGTTACCCCGGCAATGGAGGAAGCCAAGCTTCCCGCCTGCTCTGCCAGCCCTGAGCTCTGCTCAAGGCTACAAAGTTTTAATTATAGAAGATAAATAAATCCCTGATACCTGCTTCCAGCCTGCGGGCCGTGGCCAGCCTGAAAACGGCCATCAGCCCCTCACCCAGGCTGGCCAGGCACCCCAGTGGGGACCCCCACCCTGAAGGGGGTGTGGCCAGCCTGAAAATGACCCTCAGCCCCTCACCCAGGCTGGCCAGGCACCCCAGCAGGACCCCCACCCTGATCCAGGACACCCTTCAGGGCAAACCAGCCAGCCATCAGCCCCTCACATGCAAATTGACCGTACCTCCACTATACCCATAAGCCACACCCACAAGCCAATCAGGAGTGGATATGCAAATTAACCCAACTAAGATGGCAGCAGCCACAGAGCTGGAGCAAGCAGGAGGCTTGGGTTACCCCGGCAATGGAGGAAGCCAAGCTTCCCGCCTGCTCTGCCAGCCCTGAGCTCTGCTCAAGGCTACAAAGTTTTAATTATAGAAGATAAATAAATCCCTGATACCTGCTTCCAGCCTGCGGGCCGTGGCCAGCCTGAAAACGGCCATCAGCCCCTCACCCAGGCTGGCCAGGCAACCCAGTAGGGCCCACCACCCTGAAGGTGCTGTGGCCAACCTGAAAATGGCCCTCAGCCCCTCACCCAGACTGGCCAGGCACTCCAGCGGGACCCCCCCCACCCTGAAGGGGCTGTGCGGGCCGTGGCCAGCCTGAAAACGGCCATCAGCCCCTCACCCAGGCTGGCCAGGCACCCCAGTGGGGACCCCCACCCTGAAGGGGGTATGGCCAGCCTGAAAATGACCCTCAGCCCCTCACCCAGGCTGGCCAGGCACCCCAGCAGGACGCCCCACCCTGATCCAGGACACCCTTCAGGGCAAACCAGCCAGCCCCCACCCGTGCACCATGCCTCTATCCTATATAATAAAAGGGTAATATGCAAATTGACCCTAACAGCAGAACAACTGGAAATGACTGGTCACTATGACACACACTGACCACCAGGGGGCAATGCTCAATGCAGGAGCTGCCCCCTGGTGGTCAGTGCGCTCCCACAGGGGGAGCGCTGCTCAGCCAGAAGCCAGGTTCACGGCTGGCTAGTGCAGTGGTAGTGGCGGCAGCCTCTCCTGCCTCGGCAGCAGTTGGACATCCCCTGAGGGCTCCCAGACTGCAGGAGGAGGGTGCAGGCCGACCTGAGGGGACCCCCCAGTGCACGAATTTCATACACTGGGCCTCTAGTTAGGAATACACAAATCAAAACTACAATGAAATACTACCCCACATCTGTTAGAATGGCTATTATCAACAACACAGGTAATAACAAGTGTTGGAGAGGTTGTGGAGAAAAAGGAACCCTCACTCACTGCTGGTGGGAATGTAAACTAGTACAACCACTATGAAAAACAGTATGGTGGTTCCTCAAAAAATTAAAAATAGAGTTACCATATGACCCAGGAATACCTCTTCTGGGTATCTACCCAAAAAACTAGAAAACATTTATTTGCAAAGATTTATATACCTTTATGTTAACTGCAGTATTAGTCACAGTGACTAAGACATGTAGACAAAGTGTCCTTCAATAAACAATTGAATAAAGAAGATATGGTACATATATACTATGGAATACTACTCAGCCATAAGATGAAATACTGCGTGTTGCAACAACATGGATGGACCTTGAGAATATGTGTTAAACAAAATAAGACAGTCAGAAAAAGCTAAGAACCATATGATTTCATTCATAGGTGGGATATAAAACTGAAACTCATAGACACAGAGGGAAGAGGGTGAGGGGGGTAATAAAAGTAAAGAAGTCAAATATATGGTGACAGAAGATGACTTGATTTTGGCTGGTGGGCATATAATGCAATATGCAGAGCATGTATTATAGAAATGTACACTTAAAACCTATATGACCCTATTAACCAATGTCACCCCAATATGTTTAATAAAATAAAAAAGATACAACTGAGTAAAAAAGATAACCCATAGAGTGGGAGAAAATATTTGCAAATTACATACCTGATAAGGGATTAATAGTTAAAATATACAGAGAACTCCAAAGACTCAACAAGAACAAAAATGATTCAAGAATGGGCAAAGGACTTGAATATATATCCCCCAACCACCACCACCACAAAAAATACAAATGGCCAATAAGCACATGAAAAGATGTTCAAAATCATTAGTCATTTGAAAATGCTAATCAAAACCATAAGGAGATGCCACCTCACACCTGTGATGTTGTCTTTTATTAAAAAAAAAACAAAACAGAAAATAAGTGTTAGCAAGGATGTGGAGAAAGTGGAACCTTGTGCACAGCTGATAGGATGTAAAATGCTGAAGAGGAATTGGAGGGTTCTGTACTGAAAATTTAAAGTGGCAATACAACAGGTGGGAGTATTAACTAATTACTCCCTTTTAGTGAGCAGTTTGGAAATCTCTATCAAGAGCCTCAAAAGACCCATACACAATCATTCTATAGAAATTTGGACTAAGAAAATAATCTGGAATTAAGGGAAAGTTGTTGTTTTTTTAATCCTCACTGACAGCATGCTTTTATTGATTTTAGAGAGAGAGGACAGGAGAGAGAGTGAATGAAACATTGATGTGTGAGTGAACATGGATTAGTTGCCTCCTGCCCCCACCCCAACCAAGGATCAACCTGGCAACCTGGGTATGTACCCTGACAGGGAATTGAACCTGTGACCTTTCAAGTGTACAGGATGGTACTCCAACCAACTGAGCCACACTGGCCAGGGCAAGAGGGAGTTTTTTACATAAAGTACATTATACAAAATCCACAAAACATATGAATAAGGTAATCTGTGTAGAAATACATCCAAAAGTTGTCAATTTAAAGATGTTTTACATATATCCCATCATAAAGCATTTATTGATATAAATTATATTTAATCTATACTATCCTATCTAATAAAAGAGAAATATGGTAATTAGCGTACGACCGCTACCATTCCCATTGGCTAATCAGGGCGATATGCAAATTAACTGCCAACCAAGATGGCGGCTGGCAGCCAGGCAGCTGAGAACAGGATGCTTGGTTGACCCAGCGATAGAGGAAACCAAGGTTCCCGCCCGCGGCTGCGGGGGCTCTGATCTCCTGAAGCAACAGCTCCAAAAGATACAATGTTTCAATTATAGAAGCTAAAAGATGGCGGTTAATTTGCATACTCAGGCTCCAAGCGGTATGAAGCCGCAGAGCAGAGAGGCCTCCCGCCCGGGATCAGCAGAGCCGCCAGGCCTCCCGGCCCCCTGGATCAGCGGAGCCACCAGGCCTCCCGGCCCCAGGATCAGCGGAGCCGAGAGGCCTCCCGGCCCCATGGATCAGTGGAGCCGCCAGGCCTCCGGGCCCCTGGATCAGCGGAGCCGAGATGCCTCCCAGCCCCCTGGATCAGGGTAGCT